GAACACATTATCAGTCATTAAAGTAACACAATATACACACATAAATGGGATACCACTTCATGCCATCTATTGACTATAATATGAAGAAGACAAGCCATTATTAAATGTTCATGAGGATATATAGAAATTGGTATTTTTCATAAATTGGTAATAAGTATGTAAAATTGTTTGATCATTTTTAAGGTAAAGTGAATGCTTTTCAAAATGTTAAACATTCACATATTAGATGACTCACTTATTTTACTTTTCTATAATAATAATGAAGTAAACTGAAAAATTTTCCACAAAAATTATACAAATACTGTAGCAATATATTTATACATGTAAAAGCATGTAAAATTGTTCTTGTACAGATTATTGGTTAAAGGGTGATACAGATACTCAAGAGAATATTATTTGCTCATATAAAAGAATGGGCTGGACAGTGGTAGCTCAAGCTTGTAATCCTAGCTACTGAAGATGGTGAGATCTGAGGATCTTCATTCAAAACCAGCCCTGGTAGACAAATCCAAGAGACTCCCCATCACCAATTAATCAGCAAAATACTGGACTGGATGTGTGGCTCACTGTAAGAACACTAGTCATGAGGAAGCAAGTCAAGTGATTTTGAGGCCTTGAGTTCAAGCCTCAGTACTTGAAATTAAAAAGAATTAAATTAAAGCCAGACACCAATGGTTCACACCTGTAATCCTCGCTACTCAGTAGGCTGAGATCTGAGGATCATGGTTCAAAGCCAGCCTGGGCAGGAAAGTCCATGAGATTCTTATCTCCAATAAACCACCAGAAAACCGGAAGTGGCGCTGTAGCTCTAGCGGTAGAGCACTAACCTTGAGCTGAAGAGCGCAGGGACAGTGCCCAAGATCACTGTTCAAGCCCCATGATTGACAAAAAGAAAAAAGAAAAAAAAAAAAAAAGAACAGCTGCAGACCAGTAGTTACAGAAGACACTTCTGTATTTTTAAGGACTTTTGCACTGAGTTTTTTGGTTCTTGATCTTTAAAACCTCAGTCAATACTGACTCAATCCTGGGTCAGGTCATGCAAAATATAATGAACAGGTCACATTCTTTATATTGTGCAATGGAAAAATTGATAATATATATAAACTATTGGCAGATAGATTCTAATACTGAAATTTGTACTTTAGTATTAGAAAATTACAGTTGGCTACTGCTGCCTTTTGAAATTATATGGTTCATTTATTTATAAATTTATATAGAAAAATTTAATTATACATAAGTATAATTTTAATTTATATTTGTTTATCAATATTAGTAGTAATAAATGATTTTTTTCATATTTTACTGGCCCTAATGTTTCATTCAAATGAAGTTATATTGTAAGCATGATTCTTAAGATATTTTATTTGGTAATTTTGATGAGATAAAAGAAAAACAGCCCCTGACATCTGGGAGTTTGCTTGATTCTATCAGCTAGTCATTGGTATTGGTAGAAACTGATCTGATTCTTGGAGCTGAGCCAGTTTATTTTCTCATTGGATATAAACAGTCTAAGTGAACTTCAACATTACACAATCTTACTGTCACAAAACAAGAACATTTGATAAACTTTCTTAAGCACAGACACAAACACACTCGTTGTGAAACTATTGAGTACCACCTGTGCTTCTCTGAGGGCTTATCTCCATCTCTTGATAATTTAAGCAGTAGCTGTGGCTTCTTTATCAAGTATAGAATTTGCCACACCTAGTCTTCTCCTTAGATAAGATTTGTTAGGTTACTCAACTACAAAAGTACAACTGGTTCCATATCTTAGCTATAGTAAATAATGCTGCAGTAAACCAAGTCATTATGTCGAAAACGAACTTCACAACTTTTGTGGGGGGGTGTTGAAGATTGGGTGGGGGGCAAGGGGAGGAGGGGAAGGGATGGGAAGGGGAAACAAAGGAGGAGGCTGCAATGCTTGATAAGAAATGTACTCATTATCTTGCCCATGTATTTGTTACCCCTCTGTACAGTATTTTCACAATAAAAAATACATAAAAATTAAAAAAACAAAACAAAAAACAAAAGTACAACTGTACCTAAGAGTGTCCAATCATCAAAATTCTACTTCCTGGAAACTTTCTTTCTACAATTCATCTAGTCCTAAATTCTATTTTTGTTTGTTTGTTTTTGTTTTGTTTTTTGGTCTGGAGGGAATTGACACAAAGGAAGAATAAAGAAAGAGAAAGGGACAAAAGGAGAAAGGAAGTGAAGGAGGTAGGGAGGCTAAGAGGGAAGAAGTTAAGAAGGTAGGGAAGGATAGAGGGAGGAAGGGAGGAATAGAGGGAGGGAAGATGGTTGTTGATGAATACTTATATTTTCCATTTTCTAAGACACATAATTTTTACCTTGGATTTATTGAACAAAGTTGCTGTTACATTGTTTTCCTTACTTAGCATCTCTGAACTTAGACCTTCACACTAATCATGAGTTCTGTGTATTGACTGATATCACATTCCCAAAATAAAAGACTAAACACAATATTATAATATTAACATATTACAACATTTCTATTTTTTTGTATCCATTTCAATAATATAATGCCAATAATAAATATTTGGTACAAAGTATTAATGGAATAATTTGGAATTTCTAAAAAGTAAAGATTTAAATAAGTGATTACTATTTTCTGGTTTAATGACATTGAAAATTAGATACATTTAAAAGACCTTACAACTATCAATTTAAGTTCTTAATACCAAATTAATTTAAAGAAATAATATTAATAAAAATTCATCAAACTTTCTCAAACCACATACTTGACATTGTTCAACAAATTAGTATAACTCAATAATTTTAAATTTTACTCAAATCAGAAGCAAGTGTAAATAGTATATAAAATAACAGATCAAGCCTGGTGTGGGTGGCTCATGCCTATAATCCTAGCTACTCAGGAGGCTGAGATCTGAGGATCACAGTTCAAAGCCAGTCCAAGTAGGAAAGTCCATGAAACTCTTATCCCCAATAAACCACCAGAAAACGGGAAGTGGCACTGTGTCTCGAGTAGAGCACTTGCCTTGAGCTGAAGAGCTGAGGGACAGTGCCCAGTCCCAGAGTTCAAGCACCACAACCGGCAAAAAAAAAAAAAGAAAAAAAACCAGATCAATATTACCAAGCATACTTTCATAAAAATGATGTCTATTTATTACAGGGAAAATAGTTTGACCCTCACAATAAAGAACAAATCACTACATGCCATAGTTGCAAACACATGACTCTTATTTCTGTTTATTTTTTAAAGCTTCCAATTGTCGTTAGTTAGAAAAGGAAACTTTCCAAACTATGTTTGACTGACTAGCCCAGGGTTAAATCACCTTAGTCTATTTTCAGTACTGAAACAATTGTGTTGGCTGGAGTTGCTCAGTCTCCATCCTCTTTAATCCAGAACAAATATCAACTTAGTCATTTCCCATGATTCTCCAAGATGAACAGAAAAGGATTCCTGGAATTTTAGCTTGATATTCAAAAGGCTCTGGATGGCTGGGCCTGCTAAATAACTATTTCCAATGTTCCCACATCCAATTGATTTATTTTTGTACACTGAAGGAGCCTCTCATGTATAGAAAGCTTTAATATATTGAAGCAGAAGATGCTAATAAATATAGGAAATAAAGCATAAGTTGTACTTCAAAATGAGGAAATAGGAAATCCAAAAGCTTGGCAAAGTCATAGGACTCAATGTACTCAAAAAATGGGAAATGAGCCAGGCATATCTCTATAAGCATTATTTACAAAAATTCAGCAAACCCTTCAAGATTAACATGCATGGATCTTTCTGTTTTATTTGAGATAAGGTCTTACTATGTAGCTCCAGCTAGGCTTGAACTTATGATCACCGTGTTCCAGCTTCCTGAATGTTGGAATTACAGTTGTGTGTAACCATACGGAGCCTATCCTTTTTAGTCTTGATGACATTATTCCTTCTAAAGTAAGTAACTTTAAGAACAATTAATCATTAAGTCTCGCTTGAAACCAAACCTGTGTGTGTGTGTGTGTGTGTGTGTGTGTGTGTGTATGATGGTCCTGGGGCTTGAACTCAGGGTCCGGCCACTATCCCTGAGATTTTTTTTTTCTCAAGGTTAACACTCTACTATTTGTGCTACAGCTCCACTTCTGACTTTTTGGTGATTAACTGGGCTGGCTTTGAACCCAATTCTCAGATGTCAACCTCCTGAGTAGCTAGGATTACAAGCATGAGCCACCAGCATGTGGCTTGAAACCAAACTCAAACATTTGGAATAACTTCTAAGAATTGAGTATGAAGATAGATTATTTACATATTTACATGTCAAAATGAAGATAATATTGAAGACAAGTGTGCATATAAATAGGAGCAAAGAACTGAATTGAAACTATGTCCATGTACTCGTTGTAATTACAACCCATGCTTATGACTAAAAACAATTGTGAAGCTACATTAACACATAGAACATTTCCAGCAAAGTTTAAGGTTCTCTGAATATAAATTGATAGGGCCTCACCCAGGAAGGACCAAATTCAGTCACATTCACCTGAACTTGGGTTGGTCTATCTGTGAATAATAACATGTCTCTGTATATGAACCTAAAATCACTTATCCTCCAAAAATCCATGAAGTATTATTGGGCTGAGTGATGTCTAACATGACCCTCATAAACATATTAAGAAGATTTATCATTTAATTTCACCTGATCTAACTAAGTATGCACAAAACTTTAGTGGTAATATCTAAAAGCCTAACAGTACAGTTGAAATTGCTATCAACACCATTAGGGCATCTTTCGTTTCCATATCATCTTTACATACTTTTGTCATTTATTCTTCAAAATAAAGAGGTACATTTTACTACTGAGTGGTGAAGATGTTGAAAGGGCATCCATTTTTTAATCACACAAAATAAATGCTAGAGTGAGATCTAGAGACCATGTAGGTTCAGTGTGGTGGTATCTCAGGTCCTTTAACACTGTCATATTATATTTTTGATTAATTTTTTTTTCAAAGAAACAAGTAGTTCTTACCTTTCTGAGATTTTTTCCATATAATATGTCGGACATTCTCATAATTGGTATTCAACCAACTGAGTAAAATCCTCTCAGAATTAGAATACATGTTGCTGGATCCAAAACAAGGATTTATTTTTGGTGAGTTTTGTTTATGTATGTGAGGTGCAGAATTGGTATAATGAGGTTCAATACGTGATAGCACAAGCACCTGAAATTGAGAAAAAGATGATTTATATTAGGCTCAAATAAAAAACTAACAAATTAGAATTTGAGTAAAAAGAATATTACAGGTAGATACATAAAGGAAGGTGACAATATTTGCTATTTAAATATATCAATTCAGAGGTAAATGAACAGTTAAGATATACATTAGGAATATCTGAATTTTACTTCTATAACTTTTGTTCCATAGAATGTCACACTATTATTTAGGTTAAAAAAACTACATGTGGGAACAGAACTGTTCATTTCAACCACACAAATTTTAGATGCTTTTCTCATTTGTTAACCAGCTAATACAACTAAAAAGTCAAAATGTAAAAAGCTGGCCATGGTGGCACACAGTTATAATCCCAGCACTTGGCAGACCAAGGCAGAAAGATGATGAGTTCAAGGCCAGCCTGGCTTGCACTGTGAAATCTTGTCTCAAAAAGAAAATCAAAACAATAAAATACAATTGAAAGCTTTAATAGATAGTTCCCATTGAAATAGGTGTGAGGAGCACAATTTAAATGAATATCATTACAGTAATATGATCAGTATCCATAACCATCCCACATTCACCTCAACATTCTGAAAGCTGCACATAGTGAAGACTTTCAAATTCCCCATGGAAAGGTATGTTTTTCTGGTATGTGGAAGTACATGAAGGAAGCAGAAAGCAAGTCAGAAGCACCACAGGATAATGATCTCAGAAGCAACTCTTCACAGAAAATGATGATGAAATTAGTGTTTAAATACTCCAATTTCCTCAGCATTCACTAGGGATTAATCTTAGATATGTTCTGTAATGTCTCCCATAGAACTCTGGGAGATTGATCCCTGGTTGCCATAAGAAACTTGCTTGAAGCCACATCTATTATTACCTTCTTTATATTCTCTGTTTCAATTCCCTACTGTTCATGCATGTTGGGATCACTTCTGGGGAAAAAAAAACTACTTGGGCTAAAATATTTGTCTCAGAGTCTGCTTCCAGGAGAATCCCAATGGACTTTAATAGTCAAGAATATAAATTACTGCTTTGGAAAATAATCACTTCTCTAAGCAGTATACATATCTATGCTAATTGCTAATTACCGTCCCAAATGCTGATAATTTAAAAATCATTAAGATACATATCAGGGTCCCTAAACTGTTTTTATTTCACTTCTTACCATGGGAACTATTTTTAATTTCATCAAGAACCCATTACCCATTGAATTTTTTTCTGGCAGATGTCTAGTGAGAATCATCATCCACAAAATGTGAACTGCATTTTTGGAAGAAGTGTAAAGAACTGCCTTCTTTCATTCTGGCAGTTATGTCATCTAGAATGTCTTACGTTTCAAGAGGGCTTTAAGATCCATTTTATAGTATAAATCATTTGAACTCTTACCCTTTTCTAGGGAACATTAAATGATAAAAATGTCTGAGCATATCTGATGAGATAAATGTTTTGGTCTAATGATCTTATCTGACTAAGGAATCATCTATTATCTGTCAAATCTCCTCTGCAAAAGAAACAAGGTCTGCAAGTGAACCTTGACTCAAAACTCAGATTTAATGCTGGACACACAAGAGGCATGAATGTAGCTTCTGGTACAGAAAGAACCACCATTCTTAGAGCTTAATTCTATAGAAGTATTTTTTTTATTCTCAAAGATGAAAGACCTGTTGGTTTTCACTAAGCTACAGACTAGTAGGCTCCATCAAATATGCTAAAAATGAATTGCTAGAAAAAGAACTAAAGAATAAAAACAGAAAGAACAAGACTTATTCATACAAAAATTAAATATATCTTTGGAGCATGTATTATGTTCCTCAACATCAAAACTACATAAAGTATGAGTTAAATGAATAGAATGAGGATTACAGGAGGATTAGCTGTGCTAGGTAATCAATCAAACTTAGATAAATCAATTTTAGTGTTCTATACTTTCCTGCCTTCATAAAACTTGGTTCACATTTCCATTTTTAAAAGATCTGATTGAAGAAATGTGAATGATTTGTAATAGATTACCCACATAATGGAACAAAATTTATGCTATATCACAATTGAGCATATATTAGAAATAAAATGAAAATCACAAACTAGGAAAATTGAGGGAATGGATGTGATTGGGGGAGATAAGAGAGAACGATGAAAGAGGGGACAGTGAGCAAGAGGCATTGTACTCATAAACTCACATGCTGATTTGAACCTCCTTTGTACAACTATTTAAAGATAATTTTTAAAACTCTTACTAATGATACATATTTACAGGTATTGTATACTATCCATCAATGACATCTTTTCCCTATGAACTTTGGCATTATATTTATCTTATTGCTGCTCAATGACAATTCTGGATTATCTTTAAGTTGTTGTACAAAGGGGTTTCAATGCAATATGTCACTGATAATTTTTGATTATATATTATTTCAATGCACTGGCACAGAAAGAAGACAATAATTTTCATCATTAAATTTTCAATAAATCTCTAAAAAATATTTATTGACATACTTCTTCTGAAGAATCATTTCAAATAGACCTATGTTGCCTAGAAGGAAGATAGCTAGTTTCTTACTTTTAGATTTAGGGATGTCTGATCATTTAATATTTAATTGATGTATCTTTATATAATTAACTCAAGGACTTTGCAAAAGTAAATTTGTAGGACATCCAAATTAATTGAGAAATCAAACAAATAAGCCATATATCATTGTTAAAATACTGGATTAAGTAATGAGTGACTATTCATTACCCTGAGGATGCCATGTAACTACAAAACCACAATATCCTAAGACTTGGAAGTTTCTCCTTTACTGAAATGTACAAATGTACATGCTCTGTGGCTTTAACTTTTTTTTTGTCAGTCATGGGGCTTGAACTCTGGGTCTGAGTACCGTTCCTGAGCTCTTCAGCTCAAGGCAAGTGCTCTACCCCTTGAGTCACAGTGTCACTTCCGGTTTTCTGGTGGTTAATTGGAGGTAAGAGTCTCATAGACTTCCCTGCTGGGACTGGCTTTGAACGGTGATCCTCAGTCAGGATTACAGATGCCAGTCACATGCAACTGGCTTGAGGCTTTAACTTTTGTGAATGTTTCTGGATTGTATGAACAGTGAGTAGGACAATGGAATCCACTCTTTTGTGTGTGTGTGTGTGTGTGTGTGTGTGTGTGTGTGTCCCTTCTCCCTCCACCTGTTGTCTGCCATGCTGCATTATGATGTGGAACAACGGAGCTCCTGCATTTGGCAGACAGCCCTAGTGTGGGGGTGCCCAGGTCAGCCCTGTGCCCCGTGGGGGGCCTGGCCCTCAGCAGAGTCATCCCATTAGAATCTCCTCTTTGAGCCACAATGCTTTGCTGTCCCTAAGCCTTTTGTGCTATTACTTAAGCTATGTCAGCAAGCTGAAATTCAAAGTTTACTGGTGATGCAAGGACAACATTCCTAACATGTATTTGCCTATGGGGAATGGGAAATTCGGAACTAGCATCCAGTCAGCAATGAGCTTATTTTTCCTACAGTTCTGAAGTGTCCAACAGAGGAAAGTATTCAGGAAGGATTTAAAGAGTGGTGATATCCTCAGTATGGATGGGTGGATTTAAGATGATGATGCATAATATGGACTCTTGTCCTGAAATAATGGGAAAAAAACCCAAAGCACATATAGGAACAACTCATCTATCCAAATCTTACCTGTGTGGACAAAATGTCATAGAGAAGACAGAAATGCATATTTCAGGACCACAATACATAGTTCAAATACATAGTTTTTGGATGTATAAATACTCTGAGCTACAATATTTGGTATCTCGAAAATTACAAGTTGGCTTTCTCCCTCTTAATTCATAAAAATCCATGTGGCACTTTTGGTTAGAATGTATTTGTTTTGTTTTAGAGACAATTTCAGTAAGAATGGATACCTATCTTAGACTAGAAAAGGTATAATAGGAAAACCTAATACTCTAAGTAGGCACACTGATAACAGCAACAAGCAAGTTACATGATAGCCATATGCCAAGAGAATAAAGAAAAAACTATTAAAAACCAAAAATAAGAATCAAAATGTCTGAGCACCAACTACAGGGGAAACAATGAGTCCCATGCTATTTTTCCCCTTTTTTTAAGTTTTATTGTAAAGTTGATATACAGAGGGGTTACAGTTATGTAAGTCATTTAATGAGTACCTGTTCAATATTTTTCTGGTTACCTCAGTCATGCAAATACAACTGTAAGTAATGTCTGAAGATTTCATGGTCTCACCTACCCACAGCAACAAATAATTTGATTTTATTACACAGATTTTAAACTAATTTGGAGAAAATGTTTACTAAGAAAGACTTTTTATTTGAAAATATCTTATTGTAGAAAAGACTTGTGACAGTACACTGGAAACAAATGAGAAAGCAAATGGTAAAACTTCTTCAGCTATTTATCTCTGATCATATTTGCTCCCAAGTTTTGTATAAACTACCATCATATTTAGATCTTTTAGTACAGATTCCTCCTTACTGTACTTACATTTAGAATGATATTTTGTCTTTGAGGGTTCTGTTAGAGTTTTCCACTTATTTTGCCTATCTTAGGGCTTGAACTCAAGGCCTGGGCACTGTCCCTCTGACCTTTTGTTGACATGCCTAGGGTTCTACCACTTGAGCCACGGTTCCACTTCCAGCTTTTGGTGATTAATTGAAGTTCATAATCTCAAGGACTTCTCTCCCTTGCTGACTTTGGACCATCATCCTTAGATCTATAGGCATGAGTCATCAGTGCCCAACAAATGTTTTCCACATTTTATGCTTTCATTACCTATCATTTTTTAATTACAAATTCATTTTTGTCATTTGAAAATGTAATGCAGAACAATTACAATTAAATATACAGATTTAAGAAGCAGAAGTAATCAATGCATAATGAAATTTGGTGAAATAAGCTATATCCTGTTACTCCAGTAACTAGGAAGAACTAATAAATGGAATCCTCTGATGTATGCACCAGCTTTCAATATGTGACAGAATCTAAAATGATATTTGGAAAAATCACAAACTTCCACTTATTCTTTGAAACATACTTAAGCAATATTATTTTCTTTTTCATATGAAACTGTCAATCCATTTCTGCTTAATATATGGCTGGAGCAACCCATGCTATAAATAGAATACGTGGAACAACACAACACATAAATGACCTAAGGCAATCTTTATTTTTCCTATGACTTTTACCACCAAAGCAATGAAGAAAAACCTCAAATTTGTGCTGCAACCTTAAGTCTTTCTACAGACTAATGCATATACTCTCAGTACAGCAGGAGCGAAATTAATTTATCATGGTGTCTTGACATGCCATACCTTCTGCAACCTCTTTCCCACAAGTCCTGTTTTCCCCTAGTCTTGACTGGAATCAAACTCTACTTAATTACCAAGTAAGAAACTGTCATCCTTGACCTCTCTCTCCATCAACTCCAAAGATGTAGTCATTCAGCAAAAAACATGGTACTTTGTGAGGAATAATAAAATTTAGTGAAATGATGAAATTCTGACCAATGGAATATGAAATGGAAATGATGTACCTTTCAAGTGACATCCTTAAATATATTTCCTCGTCCCCCCTTACTCTTTTACCTGCTCTTTTACTTTCCGGAGAACACAGATACATAGAAAAGCTAAACCATTCATTTTTCAGTATTTACACACAGAGTAAGCATTGCCTATTTTTGAGCCAAAATACTTTTCATGTGAATAAAGCAAATTACATCAAACAAGAATGGGAGAGTTACCTTGTATGTCTGCAGGAAAACATCTGTCCATGCCCATTTACTCCAGCCTTCAAACTTTTTCATATCTATAGTTACAGAATATTTCTCCATGGGTGTAGAGGAACGCAGAACCTTGGAATCAGGGGAAGACTTCAAGAAATAAAATATTACATTTAGAAAAGAAATAAAATATTATAACACAAATTAACATTTGAGGCAAATGTAAATGTAAATTTAGCTACATAGAAGAAGAATTCATTTACAAAAAATTTCATGCCCTTTTCATATATGCATCAATAGCTCTAGCTATCATATGCCAAAAGTATACATTATCAACAGAATTAATATTCCATAGCATGAAGTCACTCCTTTAGGCCATTGATTATCACTCCACACTTCTTCCCTGTCTACTACTCATTCTGTATTAGACAAGGTAGAACAAGATGCAAGCTTCCATTGAGCCTTGAAGCCAAAAAGAACCAGACCTTTGGACTGACCCATAAAAATGTAGTTAGGCCAGGCACTGGTGGCTCACACCTATAATCTTAGCTACTCAGGAGGTTGGGATATGAGGATCTTGGTTTGAAGCCAACACAGGCAGGAAAGTCCATGAGACTCTTATCTCCAATAAACTACTCAGACAAAGCCAGAAGTGGTACTGTATCTCAAGGGATAGAGCACTACCCTTGAGCCAAAGAAGGTCAGGGACACTGCCAAGGCCCAGAATTCAAGCCCCAAGATGAGCAAAAAAAATGAGAAAAAGAAAAATTAGGGCTGAAAAATAGCTCCATGGCTCTCTCAAGTCATGTGGTAAGTATAGTGACAGCACCATTACTAAAGCCCACTCATTTAGGCCTTTGACCCCCTTAAAAGCTATATCCTTCCTCAATAGATTGTCATAAAATAAACTGTATACTTTGAGTAACTACATATGTCTTACTTAATTTGTCCCTATTCTTTCCTAAAACTGAAGTAAGGAAGCAGTACATGGTGGTTAAATTGAAGATATACATTCTTGAAATTTATATAAACTCATACCACTCTATTTACAAAGCCTCTTCTAACAGCAACTATGTTTAGGAAAGTCACATAATCATAGTTTTCCATAGAACAATAGATTTTTAGATGAATGCACACACAAAATAACATGAGCTACTCAAAGAGAATTAAACATTGGAATGTTCCATATATAAACATCAACAACTTCCAAATAGAACCTTTTAATAAAGACTACAATATTAACAAATTCAATAACTGTATCGATGCTTCCTAGACATTGTTTTCTTACCATTATTTTGCGCCACCTCCTATAATCATCCGGCTCAAACAAAAATTCTGGAAGTATGTGAGATATACATCCTCCCTGAGCACTAAAATTTTAAAAAAAGAAAAACTTGATTATTGGCAGTGATCTTCAACTAAATTACTTCAATAATAACTAGGAACCAATGGCTAATGTCTAATAATTTTTACTTTTCAGGAGGCTGAAATGTAGAGGATTGTGATTCAAGAACAGCCTGGGCAGAAATGACCTCTGGACTACCTCTCCAAAACAACAAACTGAAAAAGAGATGGAGAAGTGGCTTAAATGGTTTGTGCCAGCCCTAACTTCCAACTCCAAAATCAACAAAAATATATTCAATAATAAGCTTTTTATATGGATTGAATCCTAATTTTCAAATTTAAAATTCATATAATTAAAAATCAAAAATCTCCTAACTTATTTATAACATGATTTGTTTTTGTTGCTTTGTATGTTCCTCCCCCACGGTATAACTCCTGTTTTCACTGTATTTGATGTTAGTATAATTTGTGGAGCAGAAGGAAAAAAACAAATTGTTTAAATAGGGATACAGGTTGACCCATTGCAACAATGAGATGTACAAGATGTTATGTTGAAAAACGAACTTTACAACTTTGGCGTAGGGGTGAAAAGGGGGTAAAGGGGTGGGGAGGAGGGGAAGGAAGGGAGGTAGAAGGCATGGTAAGAGAAAAACAAAGGAGGAGGCAACAATGATTGATAAGAAATGTACTTATTACCTTGCTCATGTAATTGTAACCCCTCTGTACAGTATTTTCACAATTATAAAACAAATTTCCTAAATAATAAAACTATGTATGATGTGACCTTTAAAGAATTTAATTGATTAAAAAGTATTTTGTATGTAACTAAAACCACACACTTATATATCCTTATACCAATAATTATTACTTAGTATCTGTTGCCAATATAATAACAATTTTCTTGTTGTTATAGCATTAAAATTTTGAAAATCTGGAAACTTTTGAACACAACAGAAGTATCTAATAGCTCATTAGTTCTCTAACTACTCTAATGCTTACAGAAGAATTATTATCATATATGGCTAAATATAGAAAACTCTAAATATCAGGAAGTCCATATCTAATTTTTTCCAAAGAGACATGCAATATTAAAGAATTTTTATTATGTAAATTTGTGATAGTATATCTGAAGTGGTAAATATCTGTGTGTATTACGTAGTCCATTTTAAAACCTACAATTTTTCTATCTACCTATCTACTACTTTTTCACTGCAAAAGATTTCCTTTTCTTTTCTCTCTTCTATTTTCTTCCTGGTAGAAGGGCTTTAATGCAGAGCTTCGACTTTTTCACTTATGGCTGGTGCATTATCACTTAAGCCACAATTCTAGTCAAGTATTTTGCTGGGTAATTTGAGATAAGTCTCATGCGTTTGTCTGTTCTTGATAAAAGAGGTTTGAGTCCGTTAGTCTAATTCATTTAATGAACACAGAACACCACTCAGCAATAAAACAGAAAAATATTGCATCTACTGTTCCATTGGAGAGGCATCTTTCAGAGTATATAGTTCTGTAATTACTGAGAAACAAGGGGGAAAAAGAAAGCTCAAGATGATGATGGAAATTCAAGCCTTGAAGATAGAACCAAGGAATTTAAAGATACATGAGGAAGGAAATTTGTGGATGTAGAGGCAGTGAGCACAGTTCTAGAGCTGTTCATTTTGTTGTAATCCTGGACCACTCCAAGCAAGTGAAAAAAATGCTGCCTTCTTTATTTGGAAATTGAGCAACATTTCTCTGATTCTCAGGCAGTTCTTACCCTAATGTATATTGCTTGCATAAATTGTCATCATATTTCAATTATTGTAGTCTTATACAAAGTTTTGTTTTAATGTAACACTGTTTTTGAGCAAAAATGAGAAAACTAAAGCCTTTGTAAGAAAGTAATTAAGCTATGTCCCTATTCTGTTGGTATCTTGTAGAGTAAAACAAGACAACTGAGAGGAGAGGTATATGAAGAAATTTAGAAATTGGAATCATTTCTTATAACCAAAATTGAGAAAGGATTTCAGGAATAAGTGATCAGTCCAATCAAATGCTACTGATAGCTTAAATAAAAGAGAGCTAATAAAATGGGAGATTCTCAGGAAGGACATCATCTGTTATGTATTTGAGCATTCTATATAGCACGCAGGGGAGAGCAGAACAGGGTAAAAGTTAATGATGAAGAATATACTTTTACATTTTAAAGGTTGATGGTGTCTGTCATCAATGTTTGTTGTTTTCCTTTCTGAATCTATTTCAAAGTCTATTTTCATCACTCCTTAAGACAATATTTACATTTATATCTTTTTGTAAATTCATTTTATTTATTTTTTGTTTATGTGGTACCAAGGAATCAATCCCAGGGCCTCATGCATGCTAAAGAATCACTCTACCATTGAGGTACATTCCTAGTCCCATTTATGTCTTATCAGTAGATATTACAATTTGTTTGTAGTGCTATGGAATTTAATAAGTTATTTGGTTACACTTTTACATACTAGGTTTTCTACTTGAGTATTTTTCTGTGACTTCACTGACTAGTTAAAGGTAAAATGTGATGAAATAGCTATTCAATTCCAAACTGATCTCTAAATTTTTAATTTTAACTTAATCTCTAAAAATTTATTTCTTTATTGTACAAAGTAGATATTACTTGTACAAAATTCATTCCACTGTGTCATCAAATTTAACTGGGGAAGCTAATAGCTTTTATGACTTTTGAATTTTAGTAAATTTATTTCCATGATGAAACATGTACACATATTTTGAATTAATGACCCAATTTTATTAACCACACTGCCATTTTCTAAATGTTAAGTAATTTTTATCACAGTCAACATATCCTGATGGGCAAGTATTTGCTGATAAAGAGCAAATAAATCTGAATGGCTTGGCTTTAATGCCAAAATCATTTTTCCGTACTCATCCTTACATAACATGTCAAAACAGAAACGACCCATGCAAATGTCAACACTATTGGGAGCTCAGACAATAAATATGCTATAAGAATTAACACAAAAATACAAGTACCATAGAGTTTAATAATGCTATCACAGAATAGTTTAATTTCTATAGCAATTATAGGTTCAGAATTTGTATTCAGAACTTCTTTTGCTCTCAGTTAATATTCCATCAAATTACAGATGATATTTTGAAATAAGTGTATCAGAAATTTTGCCATATTTAATTACTGGCTTTTCCTTATTGAAACAGTCTTCTAGTATCAAAAGTAGGAAATGGCAAACTAAAAGAAAAGCTGTATATTTTCTATTTCAAACATGCATTTCAGGGCTGGGAAGGTGGCTCAGTGGTAGAGTGCTTGCCTTGCATGCATGAGGCCCTGGGTTCAATTCCTCAGCACCACATAAGCAGAAAAAGCCAGTAGTGGAGCTGTGGCTCAAGTGGTGAGCACTAGCCTTGAGCTGAA